ACGCCCGGACGACTCGATGCTCAAAGATGGCCGCCTAGCTGGCTAGGAGGTCACCGGGTGCCTCGCTAGACCACGCCCTACACTCGCCAAACTCGACAGCTTTCCACGGGCCGATTTAGCTTCCACAGCCAGTACCAAGGGCGCCTCAAGGACGAACGCCACTCTACTCCTTCAAGAAGAGCTTGAGGTCCCGGCTCGCTGCGATCACTTCTTCCCGGAAATTACGCAATCACGCCACTTGTCATGTCTCATTTTGGTTTTTCTTAATCATTATTCCTTTCCTTGTTACACGTGCGTGTTCGTGTGTGATGTATATTTGATGGCTTATTGCAGAAATGTCCGCTTTTTCAGTGTTTTCGGGAAGACAGGTTTAAAGATTCGATGATGTACATATGGATTCAAGAATATGATGTAGAATAAGATGTAATGTTTTAATAAATCTATCGAATAGAATTGTAAATGTGACTTTTATATGTATAAGATGAAGAAAAGTGAAGGATTATTTGTTGTATATAAAAAATTGGAATTTCAATAAAATATGGATGTACAATATTTGTGCAGTAAGAAATTGATATTATACATTACATTTTTTTATTCATCAAGTTTGATCAAAATTTACAAAATTTATAAATATTAATTTTTCCTTTTATTCATTTGATATGTGCTCGAGCTATGAAATCTTGAATTCAGTGAAACGAGTAATTTCATACCGATAGAATAAGAACATAAATTTCTTTATATGTTTAGGCTTTAAATCTCTGTTCATTTTTCATTAATTGTCATTCTTTACAATCATCGCTGTCAACAGATAAAATCAGAGATAAAATAAGGATATAATTTCATATCTCCAGCAACTATACAATATGCGATATATATGTTTTCTATACTGTGATTTAATAACGAATTAATACTAATGAATAAATACATATTGTTATAGCTTACTACTATTTATCTTAATTTTTGTTTCTCATGTAACTGTTAGATTGTCGAGTAACTATGAAAGATATTATATTTATTATCAAGGTCAGCTGCTTGCGTTCCTTTTTACGAGAGCTTATAACAAACATGGGGACATTAAACGGAAGTACAATGACCAATGAACGTATGAGTTGTGCATGATGAACAATTATGGAATTCAAAGACAAACGATCAAAAAAGAATACAAAGAAGCAAGCTGAGTCACTGCGGTGTATTGTGAACCCTCTCCTCCTCTCGTCGAGCTAAATAGGTTTTTGGACCGCAAGCTTTTTCGCGACAAAATCGATTGACCCGTTTTACTGGCCCAATTACTGGCCAACGTCCCACCGCCAGTCTTCATACGTATAAATTTGCTATTTCGATACATTCCTACATAATGTGCAAAATAGATGTATTATAATGGCAAATGTATAAAGTTTTTTATTTTAGCAATTGAATATTGCGATAATGATGCTGAAACAAATAATATTTATATTAAAAATGTATACGATGCTAAAAATACAAATAATATTTATTCTTATCAAATTTGACGATGTCTTTATGAAAATTATGCATAAGAAATCAAATGCATCTAAACAATATTATTTCTACTAGAAGAGATTTTCTTTTTTCGTTTCATAATAAATGTCGAGAAATTTGATTTTGTGATTGTGCAGTGGAATAATTTACTCACTATCGCCGTTAAAAATTTCCCATTGTACGACAAACGGTCTTTTATCTACCATCACGATATATTAGTTGCTTCGCAATGTTCTATAGTATAGTATAGTAACTACTTTGAGCAGAGTGATAAATAATACGTATCTACAGGTTCATTCATTCGACTGGAACGAACCGGTGCACTTTCCTAATAAACGGCGAAATAGGTTATGTTACTGTTTCTGTCTGAATAGGCAACTGGTTATGACCAGTTAATTGCAAGTGCATTACTGTATGGTATGGTATATCTATAAAATATATATACTTACGTTTTTACATGTAAATGATAAATGCTTTTATACATTATTCATATCAATAAATATATATCTATGTATACTTATATGTACATATAAATCTATAAAATTAAATTTTATAATAATCTTTATAATTTATATAATTTTATAATAATCTATTATTTGTTTCCTTTGTTATTTATTTTAATTTTTTTCTCTCTCTCGTCATTTATAATTTGCTTTACTAATTTTTTAAGAATTATTTATCTATATTTTTTTGATATAAGATAATATAAGATAGGTAAATATAAAATAATATAAGATAAGTAAATATTCACATACAATATTTTTATTATGTTAGCATATTATTTTTCAAATAGCATTTCTCAATATACCATTCTTAGTAGCATCTCAATTATTAAAGATGGTATAGATTTTTACTTAGTCTTTCAATTAGATGTGTCTCTAATTTCCTTTACTGGAATTGCACGTTATTCTTCTAAAATCAAGACGTTATGTAATATGTGCTATGAGTAATGGCGCAATTAGATAGATTTTTCAAAAACCGAGAAAAAAAATATGAATGGTGCTAAATTAACAAATATCATGAGCTATATTCATTAAAAATAGACTTTGATCATCACTTAGAATTTTTTAATTCTTTAAAGTCGGAATTATGTTTCTAGTATTCTTTTACCATAATTCTTATTTTATATATTTGAAAAATAATCATTTGACTAATTTATTTTACCAGAAAGAAATTTTAAAGAAATATAAAAAAAAAAATATGAAGTTAGTAAAAAATATGAGTTAAATTTTTATATTAATTTTCTTTTGATATTTATCTTGGTAGATAGTACATGGAAATTTCTATCGTACAAAAATTATATTTATCAATGAATAATTTTAGAATCATAACAATGTTGCATAAATTTAAAAATAAAATAGTCACTATGATGAAAACGTCATTGTTGTTTTAAAATTAAATATAGTATTCGTAATATTAGTATTGGCATCGCAAAAGTCTAAAAAAATATACAAGTTTCATTAGGATTCTAAGAATATTTAATTCATGACAGTACTTTAATTCTCGGAATTCATTCTTATTAATAAGGTATTTTTTCGTTTGAATCAGAAAGCAAATTTTTTACATAAGAATATTATATATTTTATTTATTCTTCTACTATCTCTTTACAATATATAAATTATTCAATAAACAATCAATATATCTCATGAATATTTGTCAATAAAGAGTTGAAAGAGAGAAAAAAAATATATTCGTATTCCATTTTGCATTAACTAATTCGTGAAACAAATCAATAGGAGAAAATGAAAGCAAATGCCTAAGTTATATGATTGACAATGCATAACCTTCAATCCGGCAATAGGAGGTGGAGCAGGAAACGAAAAAGATAGCAAAGAAGAGGGCATACTGGCGTCAGAGGAGGAGCGGAGAGATATTTCCGTTGTTGCAGACTCTATCCGTTTGGCAGGTTTATCAGAGAGTATGCGCACGCGCGTTCACGTGTGCCCACCTACCTACTTATCTACCTGCATCCTAGTTTGCCTGCCTGCCAGCCAACCTCCTCTCTAGTTGCTCTCTGCTTGCCCGTTTCTTCTGGCCTGCCTGGCTGCCTGCCTGTTCAGCCTACCGGTTTGCCTTGATCCCTTGAATAGCTAGGAGGTGGGCTGGTAGGTAGGTACGGCTTTCTTACGTAAGCGCTCCACTAGAGAACGAATTATCGTGGCAGGGTCGAGCAGATGAATCGACACACAGAAAGAGATTTCTAGAGATTCATCGAACGAATTCTCTTTGAGCAAAAGCTATTACGGAAGAATACAATTCTCGTCATCGTTACTAATTTTCAAAGCATTCAATTTAATTTTGAATACAGCCTTTTTGCTTTTGGAAAAATCTCAAATTATTAATCCAATCTGGTTTACTAGCACTACTGTAGATAATAAAATATAATATTGCTAGATTATATATTGATTAATGGCGATATGAAACAGCGCAAATTATTTATCGTATATTGTCAAGGTCGCGAACTTTATTTTATTTCTTCACTAGATTCGTCTCGATTTATGAAGATACAAAAAATATTGGGAAAAATAGAATATTCGAATATTATAAATAAAATATATATTTCTGATGAAACATTTCTTGGATACACGGCCCTCAAACGGGCCAAGAACATCACTGTGAATCGTACTCAACTGAAGTACGGCGCTTGTGCGATGACACAGATATCACGCCCTCTCTCTAACTTTCATCGTGGTGCTCCTTGCTTTCATAGCCACTACAAACTGGGCCAACGCATCTATGAAACGGACGCGCAAATTTACTAGATCAACTTTAGCGTTCATCTCCGCAGAGCTGAATATTAGGGTCGCGTTCCTCGCCACTCGCTAGCTACAGTATTTTCTCTTTGTACAATTTATTTTATAACGTTTTAAAAATTTTCATACTTTTGAGTTATTATTATTCTTCTAACATTAACTTTAATAATAGAAGAGGTCGTAATATAATGAGTAAATATTCATCTGAAATTCGAATAAAAAAAAAGAGAAAATAATTAGAACAAGTGCGATCCAATAAATATTAATATAAATATTAGATACCAATGTAAAAGTATATGCAAATCCATTTGCTCAATAATGAAAATTTGAAGAAACGGAAGATTTTCAAGACATGCAAATAGTTGGTTTAGAATGTGCGACGACGATGCGGCCGTATTTTTCCACAACGGTAGAGTCGTGTCAGGAGGCACAATTGCGGAGGTTAGAATCACGCGTGCGCGGTCGCTCGCGTTCTCTCGTGTATCCATAATTGCGCTGCTTCCTGCGCGTGAATACTGTTGTCCTACATTTCGGTAAGTACGCCTACCGTCGCGTTATTTTACGAAGTAGGTCGAACGGCTCGGTCGTCACACTGCATAAGTTTAATCGTCGCGAATCTGCTGACCTAGGAAAGAATTAAATAAAAAAAATTAAATGTCAAAAATGTATAGTTTGTTAATAAAAATCTTACACATATAATTTTTCCGTATTTGATAAACTAAACATATTATATCAAATCTTTTATATTTGTAATCTTATAAGAATTATTATTTTTATATTATTATATTGAATTTTTCTTCATAAGAAGAAAAAAAAAAGTAGATGTAATAAACTTTCCCCCATCTTCTGTCTTTCTTTACTTTTCTATTTTATTTTTGGAGAATCAAAATAGAAAATTTAAAAGAAATTGTAAATGTTCTTGTTTTTTTATTTTTACGAAGTATTCCATTTTGTCTCGCATTCAGATATCCCGTTTTGTTCATAGAATTAAAAAGATTAAAGTAAATACTTAAGTGAAAAATCAAAATATGGATAAACTAAAGAATGCAATGCTATAATTAATTTCTTATTCACAAAATTTGTATCAGTTTAAAATCACACGTATAATATTAATCTTTTTTCAAAGTAAATTTTTTAAACTTATTCAAATGAAAATTCTGTCTTTGAATCCGATCATAAATTACTGTAAAATATCTGAATACATAAGTAAGTACATAAGTTAGTCGCACATTGCACTCCTTATCTTATAAAAACAATGATATTTTATCCATCGTTTTACTCACCATTTTATTCGATTTTCTATTATTCATTTCTTTTATTTTCATTTACTATTTTATTATGCTCTTATTGCCGTGCTTTGTTAATCGTAAATAGGATTAATCACTAAGAAAGTTTTATAATTTAATTTCATTACAGTGATTGATGTTTTGTTATGGGATATCTAAAATAATAAATATAGATAAATGATAGATAAAAAATGTTATGTTAGAATAACATAATATAATAAAGAAATATCATAATGAGATTAGTTTAAATATTGTTCAAATATTAATATTTGTACTATAGTAAAGTTGAAATATATCGATATCTGTAAGAAACTGTAACAACAAATAATACTGATATGTCAAAAATGTGGTAAGTGATAAACGCGTTGTGAGAAAATATATCAGAATATCAGAATAAAAATCTTTCTTATTATTGTTATTATAATTTAATATATATAATGATGCCTCATAAGTGCTAAAAACATTTGTTTTTCTCTTTTGTTTTTCACATTGTTCTATCATAATTTATTACTATGAACAACTGTCTTCGAATTTGCTAAAGAATTATAAAAAAAACGTACATACATCAATTTCTATATCTTTTCACAATTCAACATACATGGAATTACAGTTAAAAGTATTATAATATAAAGTCACAACTCAAGTTTTATGTATTGAACCACACAGAGCCACCTAACCTAACTTACACATGATTTCACAAAGTAAAAAGATGCGGTATTATATTATCGATCGCGGAAAAATTCACAGAAATTATCAAAGAAGTTATAAAATTCTTTCCCGATATCGAATTGGTTTGACGATAAAATAAATATTATTCATAAGACATGAATCATAGAGAAATCATGTGTTCTTCGAAATATATCGATATATCGATTCAGGCATAAAATGCGTTCGAAACAAATTGACTGCTACACGGAAGCACAGTATACTATACGGACCCTTCTAGAGGAAGCGGACTTTCGCCCTAGTGGATTTACGCGATGGATCATCGTTAATTTTAGAGGGCAGTAGCGGTCTTCGAATCATACAACAGCATTGCTCTCAGTCTCTCTTTTTAATAAGTTTTTTAATAACCGATGAGAATGAATTACTCTCTGTCTATTCCCCATAATTATTCTACTTTTCAGTTTTCCATCTTCCATTCGACAAACTTTCAAGCTGATATTAATGTTCGGCAGGTTCGTTAATCTTGCCATTACTGCAGCAATTCCATTAAAAATACCTATTTCTTAAATATCTGATAAAAGCCAATTCTTAAATATCGTTCGCATTTCATCATAAGAAAGAATTTACGTTTCTGCTTTATTTGTAATAGAAATCTTCGCAACAAGATTTTTTTCAAACTGCAATTATTTTTAACTAAGATAGATATCAGTGCTGGTTTTGTACACACGTTAATTATTCACTTATATTATTAATAACTTTTTATACATTATTTGGTATTTATATGTTAGAATTTTTAAAGATAATTATCTTTTTCCGTTTCAAATATTTTAGACTGAAAATATTTATACAATGTATTGAATGTTGTTATTTATCTATTTTTTGAAATAGAAATGAAATTTAAATTTTTATATATAATGAATATTACGTTTTCAATTATCAAAATTTTTACTTATTGCTTATAAATTAATTGTTATCATCTTTAAACTTGTTTTTATTCTTAAAAAATATTAACTTTTATACAATAATGCATTATATATAAATTTAATTTTTGAAAATGGAAGTTAAGATAAAACAATAAAAAAGAAACTTACAAAAACTTAACTTTAAAGACAATATTTTAATAAAGATAGAAAGAAGAAGAAAAACAAGTAAAATTGAAGGAAAAGACAACAAGATTTATGACAAATTTTTTTGAATTAATTTCTTAACTGAATGTGACTACTCATATTTATGCATTCGCATATGTGTAAGTATTATATGTACTTCCCGGCCTATTCTTACGTAATCGCCAGATAAACTTAATGACATATGTAGATATGTTATGTAGGTATTTTCTCTTTTCAATGACACTGAATATTCGTTTTTTCTTTGTGTTGATAGAATTTTCAAAATATTTTATGAAAAATAATTCGATAAAAATTAATATTATTATAATTAAATTAATATAATTATGAATTATTTTGTGTATTAATAAATTCATTATATGTGTATTATATATATATATTATAATTATAAATATTAAATTTATAATTAAATTTGATTATTAGATTTATTTATTAGATTTCCAATTTATTTTCGAATTACATTTCATCATTAAATTAAAATTAGTTTAAGATTACTATTTTAGTTCGATAGCACGAAAAAAATATTTATTACATCACAATAGAAAACGCGAAAAATTTAGATTAAAATCATCGATTTTTATTATTAAAATTTTTTATTAACTTTTATTTCCAAGTAGAAAGAAGATTTCTTGTGATTATAACTTTTTTCGATACACATAAGATATGAAGATAAAAAGAAAACAAAGTTGCAAAATCATAAGAAGTCACAGATAAATTTTATTAAAAAGATGATGACCATCGAAGGAAAAATAATATGAAAGTTCTTGCTTAACGGTACGGTTATGATGCAGCTATATTTATTAGTATGAAAGCATATTGAAATTATGAGTGCGTGTTTACGATTATGTTTACTGATTTGTGTTCAAATTAATATAACAATTTCAAATAGATGCAATACAATCATATTTCGCACGTATTGAATTCGCATATAAATGTACTTGTTTATAAAGGCGAAGTATTCATCCTGGAAATTATGACTATTATTCTTTTATATATAATTAATTCATTATGTTGGTTTAATGTAGTTCAAGTTCATTGAATGCTTCAAATATCTCAGGATAATGTTCTTCGTTAGATAAGAAATTCAAAGAAACAAAATATATAGTTAACTGAAATATATAGTTTACATATTTTTCAATATATAATTTCAATAAATGTATCTATTTTTTATACTTTAGATTTATTTTTAATTATAAATTCAAGCATTTTGAATATGTATATATTTAAATTTAACATCTTTATATATTTAATCAAATTATTTAATCATTTTATTTAATCATTGAGATTTAATCAAATCTCATTCAATTATTTATTACGTATTTAAAGTTGAAGTTTGTATTTCGCGTTATAAATATATGTAAATGATAGATGTCAAAGAGCCATCGGTCTCGTCGCAATATGTATGTAGCTTATAGAGAGTAGGCTATAGACATCGTTATGAACAGTGGCTCATCGAGCACATAGAAATATCCACATGTGACATGTATTTCTTTGCTAATCTTAATGACACTATAATTTTCAAATATAAAAAGTGATTATTACTAATTATTATTAACGCACATTGTGCGTGCATTTTATAGATAATTATATTTTCACTGTTATTCAAAATTAACACACGATTTTCAAGACAAAATTTTGAAGTTTTCTTTTGATCGCAGATATAAGTAGTTTTAAGAATTTGATCGACACGTTGAAAAAAAGATCGAAAGAATGTGTAGTTCAGTGAGTACCACTGTTATAGAGCGATCATGCGCGCTCTTCCAGCT